TAACCTTTGAACCAGTGCAGATTATAGGAAGCCGCCCATTATTTCATTATGTTGACACTAGTTAAAATCCCTAGAGAAATATGAAAATAATAATAAATGGTTTATATTGAAACAAACTATGTGTATTAAATACTGTGTAGTAAAAAAGTTTTGTGAATTATAGTTACAACAAACAATATAATAAACAAGATTTTTATTTGTCAAAATAAAAATAAAACAATTTATTCCAGTAAAACTATATTCTAATAGTTATAAGTACAATACTAATAAAAGGTGACCTTATAAAAGTTCTATGTTTTAGATTTACAGTTATTTACTTATTAGGATTGTACTATTATAGGTAAAGCAAAAAGAAAATTGATTTTTGTTAGCAAAACCCGCTAACTTTTTTTATTGCTATAAGCAAAAATAATAGATAAAGTTTTTCCACGTTTGATCAACTCTTTCTTGTGGCACAAGTGGGTTAAAAATTTGATAAATAGGACTGTTTTCTTGTTTTTTCTTATATGTAAAAAAACAACTTAAAAAAAAATATGATCAGTAATTTATAGATTTTAACATGTTTTATAAAAACGTCTTGAGATATTTTCCCAGAATTTCGTATATTTTATGCATAAAATTTATAACAACATATGGTTAATTTCACTAGAAAAATCATCTAACAAAATATTTTTAAAATAACATTTCAAATAGAGAAGATATCTTGTAATGTTTAATTTGCTCCCCGTTTTTTATTGCTTATTTAGTCCTTTAAATTGACATTAATTATTAAAAATAAAAATAAAATTGATTGTTTTCATAAATGATAGTCATTGATACCTTCTTATACTCTATCCTAATTATTTGAATCGACCCTACCAGACGATTTAACAATTTTTTACATCAGCTGTCAATCTAAAGTAATTTTATTATAGCTGTGAGAGCCATAATAATCCATTGACTAACAGAAATAGCGCAATTTAAAATCAATGCTAAAGCGGCTACCGATTGATTCACTGCGTCACATCACTTTTCATTAATATTAATACCGTTGATTAAAAAAATGATAGAACAGTGAGGTCATGGCACAGTATAGACGTGGGGTAGTTGGGACAAGTATAGATGATATCTGACAGTGATTAAAATCACTATCATAAGAAATGCTTCGATGCAAATCCGAATTTAATTTTAAGAAATTGATGCATAATTACAAATGTAACATCAACTTCTATTTCCTTAACTATATGCTCATTAGTAGTTCTTAGATTTAAAAGTATAATTTACAAATAATATTTTTTATAGCAATAAATATAGTATGAAATTAATATTGTAAATTTTACAGAAAAATTATAAAAGTATATTTGTTACTTTTCTATGACACACATGTATAAAAATTAAATGGCTTGATGTAATACTTTATAAGAAATTTTTTTTTTACTTATGAATAAATACATTGGTCTACAAGGGGAACTTTCATCGTAATTAAAGATATACTTTTCTAAATATTCAATTAGAATTTTTCTATCACTTCTAAGTTTAGATATTATTACTAATTATTAAAAAATTAATATATTACAATATAAAAAAAAAATGACATATAACAAAAAAAAAAAAAAATGTCTACTCAATTATTGAGCGTATTAAAAAATCATTATTTTTAGAAATTATGTATAAAACCATGTTATCAAAAAAATTGGAATATTATAGACTGCTAGTAACACACACAAATATAGCTAAAAATTAATTAATTACTAGGAATAATTATTTAATTTGGTAGTTGAAACTATTATTATATCAAACCTAATTCGACAATAAATACTTTAAAAATATAAGAAATTAATGATATTAATTGTCTATATGGAGAAAGCTGGTTAAGCAACTTTTTATTTGGTAAAGGGGATTTTTTTCAATTTTTGAGAGTAATATCTTTAACTAGATAATAGTTGTGTTTATTTGATGTATCGTTACAAAAAGTTAATCAAGTGAAAGCTCAGAAAATAAATGAATGCCACAAAAAAAAATCACATAGTAAAATAATTTTAATATAAATAAGAAATTTCTTCACACAAGAGGAGACTACAGTGATTGGGTCCTTGATATTCATTGAAGTTATTAAATCTAAATGAGATAATAATCAAATGAGTTAAACATTTTTTTCTAATTTAAAAATCTTTGTAAGGTATTTAAAAATAAAATACAAAACCGAGAATTATAACACAAAAGTACCATATTTTTTAATATAGTAGTCATTATCACACAAACTAAATTTCGAAATTTTTTTTTTCATATTAAATAAGCTTTAATTTAAGATATATATAAACGTGACAGTATTTCCGGAACATTTTCAAAAATTAGGTTAAAAAAAATCTATTTTCTATTCGCGTGTTTAAAAATTTTAACACCCCCTGTATAAAGGGAAATGGTCTGATTTAATAAAAAAGTATGTCGAAGAAAAGAAGTAAATAAATAATATTTACCATAAAAAAATTGTATTGATTTATAGATTGCCCTAAAAGTTATATCAATTTAAATTTAAAATTATTTTTTTATATTAATCTATATTACATAAGTTTTGATTAAGATATACATAAAAGTGTCAGTACTTCCGGAATATTTTCAAAAATTAAGTTGAAAAAGTTAATTTTTTGAAAAAAAATTATCATTTTGAATTCCTTTACGTAGGCAGGTGAAACGTCAAATTTACAAAAAATAAACTAAATGATAGGTAAATATCTAATGTATTTATTAAAAAAAAATTGTATCTATTCATCTATTTTTAAAAAAGTTATGGCAGTTTTAAGTAAAAAAAATTTCGAAAATTAGCATTTTTTAAATTTGTAATTTTTTTGAGGTTTCCCCCATTTACGGGGAACGAGGGAATTTTTTTCAGTTATTGAGGGTAATGTCTTCGGCTACATACGTTTTGTGATCCTTTGACGTATCGTTAAAAGAAATCGATTTGGTGAGAGTTGAGAATAAGTTGTAAAAGATACAACAATAAAAAAAAACACATAGTAAAATCAATACCTTCTCAGCTTCGCATCGAACCTAAAAAAAATTGTTATTGTAAAATTTTCAAATCCAATATCAATTCTAAATGGAATATTTAATGCCTGTCAATTTAATATTATATAAGATACACTATATACTCCAAATTTTATTTTAATATATTTTTTGATAGATGCTTTGTTTTTAGTGACATTGACCGTACGAAAAAAAAAGAAAATAATTTGTTTTGTAGAATAAATACATTTTTGTATACATATAAATTTTACTCGTTAAAACATTTTTTTTTTTGTAGAAGTTGTTGTTTTTGAAATATAAGCTAAAATCAAGAAAACTACTCCATTTTTTACCCATTTGCGGCAAGGAGTTACCCAAACGTGACATAACTTTATTAATTATTTTTGTTTATAGAAATTAAAAAATTAGGAGTCTTACGAACAAAATTTTTAAGTTGACACTTGAAGACTACCCTTTTACTTATATTATAAAAGTTGGGTTTAGAAATTCATTAATTTTCATTTACGTCTTGTAGCTATTTTTAGAAGAAATTAGATACCTAATTTTTTATACGTTTTTCAAAAAATTTGCTTAGAAATATACTCATTTTTGTATGTGTAATCTAATTTAAATTTGAGTCCACAACTTACTAAAATATTAACTATAATTTTGCAAAAGTTCATATAATACGTTGTCTTGCATAGTATCCCTACAATATATTTTTTTTTCATTTTTCTATGAATTTATTTTGAGAGTGTTCATTGTGTTTATAAAGTAATGTAACTATTATTAGATAGTAGTAAAAAAATACAATTATACCGTATCCATGTGAAACAGACCCTTTTTGGTCGTAGATTGAATTGAAGTGTAAAATTATCCAAATAAGTAGCGGTTGACCAGAATCAATCGTCTACAGTATGATACAGATAATAACATGCAATCAGCAAGTTAAACCGAAGTACAATTACCCGCACTATAATTATCATACAGCTAACACTACACAATAATTTCTATGGTTATAAATTATAATTTTATGGGACTGACGTTGATATTTGCGTGTAATTATAATTTAATAAAACACGTTATTTTTCTAATTGAAGAGAAAAAATAAATACTATCATCACTCGCGGATACACTTAATATTTCTATAACCCAATTACTATAAATTTCATATTAGATACAAAGATGTCGAAATAAATAAATTTACTAATCCTCACCACAGTGTAGTAAAATTAACTTTATTAACATACTTAAACAAATGTTAATTATATTTATTTGTTTTATAAAAGTCATATATTTATTGAAAAAACTTTATAAATGTATAAAAATAAATTATGAATATTAACCTTAAGATTAATTTATTTTCTTGAATTACATTTCACTATTATTTATAGACAGAGTGATTATTCAACTATTATTCAAGCAAAATCTTGAAAAATATAAAATTTAATTTTTTATTTCCGAAAGTTTATAGTATCTTTCGTTCTACAATTTCGAAAAAAAAAGAATTATAATTCCCCTTCTTAAAAACTTATCAACTTAGTATTAAATGGCAACATATATGTTAAACCAACTTATAAACTAGAAAATAGGAGGCGTGTACCAACTTTTGGACTAGTATTTTAAAAAATATAAGTATTTTCATAACAGACGCATGCTTCATAACCAGTCCTTATGTTAAAAAATTAAAAACTTCCAAAATACTGGTTCAGAAACTGTTATCAGCAAGTAGTTCACTTAGATCATTCTCTATTTGTAAGTTGTTAAACATTTATATTTCTATTAAAAAAAAAACTTAATTTGATAATATATAAAGTGAAAGGAGGAGGGTAAGGGTTGAGTATTTAAAAAAACTTAGAACGTTGGTTGGGTTATTTTTAACTTTCAATATGAAAAAAATACAATATTTTATATTTTTAAAGATATTGTACGAGTCATAGTTTACCAATCCCCTGGAATTATTCTGTTAATTATCCTATTAAATTATTCGCTTAATAATAAATAACAAAATTTCTTAGATATTGTAATGAAACGACGGATATGCCACTTTTCTCACCGCCAATTGTCCAATACAATACAGATAGTAATGAAGAGAAATTGGAAAACGTCACCATATTACCTTTATATCAAATAAAATGTGATCGGTATCCATTGAAAGAATCGTTTCATATTCTTCCTGACGGAAGTCTTTATCAGTTATCATCAAAATTGACAGTTCCACATGACGAATATTGCATTGATTACTACGCAGAAAACTTTACCACGCAAGATATTGTTATGAAGGCGTTCATTTGTTTCGATAGATCTGGGCCCACAACTTCGGTCGCCCCTGATCAAGTCAAAGGAAGTTGGAAATACATTGTCTTAACGGCCGGCATTGTGCCGTCACTTATTTGTTTGACAATTACCCTGATAGTTTATGGCATTTTAACTAGTTTGCGTAACATGCACGGCTACTACATCATGTGTTACGTGGCATGCTTATTGATATCATACTCTTGTCTGTTGATAGTCAACTGGAAATCTGATGATTTAAGCCCTCCTATTTGTACTACAATTGGTAAGTAACAATTTTGTATTATTTTTCATTGTGATATTTTTTTGTTTCATTTTTTCAGTTCGGAAAAGACATATAGAAACTTCCAACTTGTAAGTCGCTAATTAAGCCTGTATCGACCAAAAATTATAAACATAATTGACCTATTTTATATTCAAATATTTTTTGTATCAACAATTATGAAATTTTTTTGTGAAAAAAATTCATATTAATTTATTAATATGGAAAGTAAAAATAATGGAAAATTTTATCGCGTACGATAGAAAAGACCCTCCAACAAACTATAAGTAGAATAATCCTTCAATATAAAATAGTTAATTTTGGAGTGTAATAATCTTTATTGTATCATAAGGCTTAAGCTTTGACTTGATTTTGAGTTACAATATAAACAACAGTAGAGACGGAATCGCGTATTCAATTCAATTAAAGTGCACTACATAAGTTCGAGTTTTCTCAATCATAAAAATAAGCTTACAATAAAATACATCGAGTTTATATATAAAAAAAAAAAAAATAGAATTACACATAATTGCTAGTTAGCGTTTGTAAGTCATATAGAGTCGTTAAAAATCATATCTAACATAACATTTATATTTAACAAATAATAAGAGCTTTTTTGTAACATCGTTTTATAGAAATCTTAATACTTTAAATTTTGATCCATTTTTTTGATATTTTTCTTTTAATTGTCTTGTCTGAATTGGAAGATAATTTTTTCATTTTGACTCTTAGTAAATAAATATGATATCTTCTTATTTACTCATTCATACATAGTTATAAAAGGAGAAGAAAGTCCCTTGATTTGTTTAATGTATGTTAGTACAATTTTTGTAAGTTGAGCAATTTTATAATTATTTAATTGTAAACGAAAAAATTTTATAGAATAAAAAAGCAACACCAGATTGGACTATAAATAATTAAGAGCTAGAGTCCACATATTGACTATCCTATAATTTTTGACATTAAATTATATAAATAAAATTTAGTATAATTTATACCTCAGAGACCTGAATATTAACAATGTCTTAAATTAAGACTCTTCATACAAAAAACAAAAAAAATTTCAAAATTTGCTTAACTGATCCAGGTTGATATTAAAACACCCATTGAATAATTACTTTTAAAAATGACATTTTTTAATATTTAACTTGCATGTTTCTATCAGTTTTCGTATTAGCTAGTTGATTCTGATTAATTAATGTAGGCCTATTTGTTTCTTTTTGAGTGAAGTTCACTTTTTCAGTTTCTTGGTAATCGTCCAAGTTATTCTTGAAGGTATAAGTTCAATACTTACATAATAAAGAAGTTTTAAGTGAAAGAAAGTTACTTTTGGCAAATATTGTACAAATAATGTTTATTAGTATTAATTCTCCAAGTCGTTAATGCTTCCATTAATGAGTTGATCGGATGAGTTATTTTCTACAGTTTCACTCTCCCCATCGTTTGACGATTGGCAATCCCCTTCCTCGATTTCGCTAGTACTAGAAGTTATCCATTATTTTATTTCCTAGACAATCACATTGTACTTAAATTAATCCAGACACTTCATCTGATATTACAATATTGAAATCTAACTCTGCAATTAACACGATAAAATTCTTGTAGTGGACTTTCGTAATTGGCTCAGTCCCATCTTCTCGTTTAAATCTCTTTGTTGGTGGTTCATAGTCACTACTTATAGAATCAATCAAAGATGTATACTCAATGGCTCCATTAATTTCCATTTTTAAATGATAAGATTAATTACAAAGTTTTAACAAAATGAAAAAAGTAATTTAATTGCAATATTACTATATGTTTTTTAATTTACGTATACTAAAATAATAAACACAATTTGAAATCTAAAAATTATTTGATACCAACATAGATTTTCCATTAGTTATATACAGGCTGATTTCTTTATCATGAACCAATTAATTAATAAAAAACAAAATAAATTTTATTAACACAAACATTTTTTTAATCTTTTAGTAACACATGATTTATCAATCATGTAATAATTTTTATGTTAATAAGATATAAAGGTATGAATCACGTTTTATTAAATATAAACATACATATTTAATAAATAATGATCTGATTTAAAAAATTGACTGGTCGATAACAATATTTCTGTTGTAATTAACATTTTTAAACTTAGGGGTAGGTGGAGTGCGAATTAAAAATTAATCATTGATAAAAATAGCAAAACCCGCTTCTCACATCTAGTCATTATTTTACATTGTTAATAGCTTCCAAAACAATCGTTCAAAAGTTTATATCAACTAGTCGTTTTTTAAATTAGATCATTAACGAATAAATATACTAATAAAATGTAATGTATATAGCCATTAAAAAAAGTTGGTTCTTTAATAAGAGATAGAGATTATAAAGAGATATAAAGAGATAGATAAGAGAAATAGAGAAGAGATTCTTATAAATAAAAACCCAGCACAGGGGGGTCAGGGCACAGTGGTGACATGGCATAGTTTGATCAAGTATAATGATATCTCACAGTGATTAAAATCACTATAAAAAAAAACGCAAATCTTTAGATAGTGTTTAATTTTAAAAAATTGGTGGATTTTTCCAAAAGCTACATGATCTGCTATTTCCTTATTAATATCCTGAATGAAAAAAGAATTATTAAAAAATATTATTTCTCATAAAAAAATTATGTTGATCCATATAATTTTCAATAAGTTATAGCATTATAAAGTTAAAAATATAAAAAATAAAATCGAGAATTTTCACACAAAAATAGCATTTGGTAGCCATTTTCAACGTAAAGATAAATTAAAGTCAGAAATTTTTTTTTTTCATAATAAAGTATATTACATTAGCTTTATTTTAAGATATTTATAAAAGTGTCAGACTTCTCGGAACACTTTCAAAAGTCAAGTTGAAAAAGTTAATTTTTTGTGAAAATGTTGTCATTTTAAATCCCCCCCTATGGCTAAATAAAGGGCTAAATTTATGAAAAAAATATACCAAATGATAGGTAAAGACATCAAGCATCTATAAAAAAAAATTATATTAATTTGTTCATTTTTAAAAAAGTTATGGCAGTTTTTTAAATTTATAATTTTTTTGGAGAATTCCCCCATTTACGGGAAATTTTTTCAATTTTTTAGGGTAAAGTCTTCGACTAGGTACAATTTGTGATTTTTTGACGTATCGTTAAAAGAAATCCATTCGGTGAGAGTTGAGAAAAAGTGGTAATAGACACAAAAAAAAA